GGGGGGGGTCACTGCGTGCACGGTTCTCCCGTGACCCCCCCCAACCCCCCACCGGGCGGAAAGAAAGTTGTCTTGCATTGTCGAGCCTTGCGCTGCACACCGGGGTCACTCGCTGCAATACCAGAGACCCCCATCGCGCGGATCTCGCCGAAAAGAAAGTTGCTGGGGGGGGGGGGCGGCTCTTTCTTCTCAGATTTGCTTAACTAGGCAGGGGAATGCAGGACGTGCACGCCTGTGTGCGTGCGTGTGCATATATGAACTCGACTCCAAACCTAGCATCTCAGACAAGCTCGAAGAAAGAGAAGAGGCCAGCTGTGTTTGTGGGGAGAGGGATACGTATGTATGTATGTATGTGTGCATGCAAACATAATCAGTTTTCTCCAACCGACAGCAGAAATCCTGGCTTCCAAAGTGTCTCTAGTCCCGTCATTCCCAACTCTGTGCTCTCCCACGTTGCGAGGCAGTGAAAACAAACTAGTGCCAGACCAAAGAATTTCCCATATCCCTAAAACATGTCGACCAACTCAAAATGGACGCCTCATTAAAAAAAAAAAATCTTCAAACTACTATCTCTTTTGCGGGGGGAGGGGGGGAGATATTCTGACTGTTCCCACAAACAACCTTTCCGAGCAAGGCAAAACAGAACTGCATCTTTCATCATTTAAAAGCTTTGGAGTACCTTCCGTAAACATGAGTGTTTTATTCACTTATGTCGCTATTTTTCAGCTAACGCAGACTCTTCTCGGATGTTTAGAAAGTGCATTGCAAAAAAGAAAAGAAAAGAAAGGGGGGGAACCAATCCACAGACACAAAACTGAATCGATTCGTTCTTACTTGTTTGTCATTAAGAGCTGCTATTCTCGATTGCCTCTCATGGATTTGTTTCTTAAGATCACCGTTCTGTAAAAATGGCAATAAAACGCAGATTAAAGACCCAGTGTAAACTAAAGGCAGTTCAGAGTAAACTTGCAGTCTAGGAATGGCTCAGAGGCAACAACAACAAAAAAAAAAACACAGGGAAAAGCATGCACAAGAAGGGGGGGGATATCATCTCATAACCCCCTTTATGCAACAAAGCTCAGCCCAGCCTTCGAATTGCGATCTCTTCGCGATAAAGTTTCTTATCCTGCTGTCCCAAAGACACGGCACTAAAATGCTGCAAAAGAGGATTTTTAAAAAATAAAAATAAAATCTGCATTTACCTGTAGATCTTGCTTCATCTGTGCAACTAGTTTCTAAAAAAAAAAAAAATCACCCCGAAAAAGAGGGAATTAGAAAGTGTTTCACGTGTAATGGATTTTTAAAAATGTGCGTGTGTGTGTGTGTATGTGTGTGCCTGTGTGTGTGGAAGGGGGAGGGGGGTGGAACAAAGAGGCAAGTAAACACAGCGAGTCAGTTTCAAGCAAAGCTCATAAATATTCAGGTCTCGTCCTAATCTCTCCAACACACACACACACCCGGCACCAACCGCAATGTTAACTCCGGATCGCGACAACAGAGACAGCCACACCAAAACTCAGCCAAACAAGCTCGAAAACTACTTTGGCAAAGTGGTGCCCGCTGTTCGCCAGAGCCCC